ATTAAAATAGGAATAATCACTTAAAAAAATTAAAATAAATAAATGCGGCAGCCTTTTTGATTTTAAAAACAATTGCATACAACTTCTATAGTCAGGAATTATCTTTTTCCGGATATTTCCGGAATTCCGGATATTTTTTAAACTTTTTATATTTTCCGGATAATTAGTTTCCGAATATACAATTTATAAAATTTTTTCTGTTTATTACTATCAAATGAAACAGTAACAAGTATATATAAACAGTAAATTTGTTGTCCATAAATTACGGAACGTTATATTTAGTTAGCAAACAAAGCAAAAAAGATTAAAAGATTTTCCTCGCAGAGTAAACCAAAAATTTATATGCATTTTAATTAAAGTTTAATAAAAATCCCAGCGCAAAAGAGCGAATGATCTCCTACTTTTAAAATAAAATTAGCGATGCGTGTCAAAGTCTTCTTTTTAAAATTAATTGTAAATTTACATTTTTTAAATAGCTCTTTTAGCTATTAGCAAAGAGATTTCTTTTTTTATTGTTTTAAAACTTTTTTTAAGTAAATCACTTCGCTTATGGACTGAAACTTCTCTCAGTTTATTTGTCGGTGGTTCAAAATTTACTGCATCATTGTTTCGTTTTCTGCCCAGTCGTACAATTGCAAATCTCTATTCGTACACTTCTTGAAAGTATCATTTTTTCGCAAAATTTCTTATTAATTGGAGACTTTAAAAAGTTTTGACGATAGTATTTAAAAAGTTATGACGATGGTAGAATAATACAAAAGCTGTCAGAGAAATCAGTTTTTAATTTCCGTCAAATATGAGATATAATCGTTAAATTTAAACTCTTTAGAGATGAGTGAAATCTAATTCTAGAGTGCAGTGAAACAATGTATAGTTCGATCTAAGAATGAGAAATTTGGTATGACCTTCAACTAGTAGAAACTTCTATTAATCTTACAGTTACTGTAATACCGTGGTGTAATATGGTCGTGCGGTACAACTTATTTTCCTAAAGGGTGAAAAAAACTTATTATTACTAAGATTAATTACTTTGTTAGTAATAAGTTATTACATACAAGTAAGTGTTGTATAATAAAACTATATTCTAAACTATAAAGAATTTTATTCTATGTACTTATTTTAAAGAAATCTAAACATATGTACTTTGACTAAACGTCAAGTGAATCAAATTGCTTTTAAGTACCATTATTAGGTTTTTAAAAACATTGCATTTTGAGGTATGTTTTCTTTTCAATTCAAAAAGCACGTGTCAAAATTAATTTTATTTTCTTTCAATTAAAAAAAAATCATATTTTTAAATCTTTTAAATTTTGAATCACGTGAATGAGCACGTGAATCATTAATAATGCCTCACCTTTTGTTTATCATAGTTAAAATAAATTTAAAATTTTTATTTAAACTTTATCTAACGAATGTTTAAACTTTTATAATTTTTGAACGTGGAGATTTTTTAATAAAAGAAGTCGTTGTACTAAAAATTAAGTTTAGAACATTTTAAGCACTGAGTGGAAGAACTAATTGTAGAAAACTAACTGATTACAGAAAAATAATTCAATATCTTTTTACTTTTTATTTATTTATTTTCTTTTTTAACATATTTATTACTAAAGATTTCTTATTTTTTTGTATTTTAGAAGTCTGGTGTTTTATTATTATTATTATTTCCTATCTTTTTACTGCGATTGAAGTATGCTCCGAAAATAGTTAAAATAAAATCCATTTATATTTTCCAAAAGTTGGTGTTTTGCAGGTAATAAAATGTTTACTGAAAGAAGTTGGCAAGCTAAAGTGTCGGATATATGTCGGTTTATTTTGTAAAATTACTACAAAAAAACCAAAACGCTAAAATAAATAACGCCCAATGGATTTCAGTTATGGTGGCGCCTCTGACCCGTAACAATGCGTTAAACGTTTTTCTATTTGTATATCTTTGGTGAATTGAGGCAATATTTCATTATTCATTATGTATTTAAATGTATAAAAGCATGTCTAAAAAAGTTTCCGCATTGTTTAACAGCTTTTAAATATAGTTTTCTACTTCTTCTTTATCTTCATCATCTTCTTCTTATTATTATTGTTAAAATTTTATTGTTATTATTATTATTTTTTGATGAAAAAAGTTATGTAGTTTTTTATTCATATATACGTTGAATAAGGATACTTTTAAACTGGCATAATATTATAGTAATATAAAAGATGAAGGAGAGCGCGCCCCCTCCCTCCTTGTTAACATCTCTTTGTAAATTCCGGATTTTTTCCGGATATTGCAAAAAAATTTTCCAGATTTTTTGCGGATATTACAAAAAAATTTTCCAGATTTTTTCCGGGTATTTGAGGAAAAAAAATTTCCGGATTTTTAAAATATGGCCAGGATAATCTATGTATAGTCCTAAATGTTATACTAAATAATAAATTATTTGAGTGACACAACTTTTTTTTTTAAAAAAAAAAAATTTGTCACTCAATTTTTGCATTATATCTTTATAAAGCTTCAAAAAAAAATTTTTTTTGAAGTTTTATAAAGATATAATGCAAAATATATATTTTAATGAAATATTTTCAAATGACTATTGAATAAATAAACTATTGAAAATGCGAAAATGCAAAGAAAAACATCCATTAAGTTCTTGCCGGAAATATTTTTTATTTCAAAAGCTGTTTGTACTTTAAACACAAGGGTATAGCTATAGAACTTGGATTTTTTTTAAAAAAAAGTTATGATTGTTTTTTGAAAAAAACAATCAAAAGAAGAATTAAGTTGAAGAAATGAATTTTACTTTATGTAAAATAAGTTGATTGCAAAAAATTCCAAAAATTTTAGATGGTATTAATCATATACTTGAAAGTAAAAGAAAAAATGTATTAAAAAATAATATTTTTACCAAGTGCAGCAAAATGTTTTGCAGAGTGCATGCCAATTAATTTGCTTCTAAAGTATGACAGAAACATTTGAAATCAATATTCTTTAAATAAGAAAATTTATTTTTAAACACACAAGAGTTTAAGTGATTCAACAAGAGACCATGCAAAACAGTCTTGTTAAAAAAAGGGGCGCTATCTTTTGCTATTTCTGAAGGCCAATGCAATTCGCACAGCCGCCGTGTTCCAATTCTAAAAAGGCTATTTACACATCCGTCATATTCCATTTCTAAAAAGGCTGTTTACACAACCGCTGTCTTTTTTTCCAATCTTGCAATCAATTTTTGATTCACTTTCTGATAGATTTTCTTCAAAACATACTCTTGCTTGATGACAATACAATATTCAGAAATTAGTTTTGTAATAAGTCAATTAATTTAGTTGATTTTAATTAAGTTTATTTTTTATATGGAAAGAAGAATTAAAATTTATAAATAAGTATTTTAATTGTTTACATACCTATACGCGCGTTTAGCTTATTTGGATAAGGCATTGACTTCGTAAACTGAATGCCTCTTGTTCCAGACCTGCCTCTTCCTAATTTTTTTTTGTTTTTTTACACACGCATCCAGCCAAATGTTAATAAAATTAAATAGTAATATCAGAAAAAACTTATTGGAATATTTGTGTTTTAATAGCATATAAAAGGACTAGGTTTTAAAAATTTGTTTTAATTTTACTTATTCTATTTAATTATTAAAGCTGTCATTTTCTTTCAGATCTTCCATTTCAGCTTTCAATTTGTTTTGTTGTATCTATGATTTAATTCTTAATTTATGGTGCAGTCCTATTTTAAACTTTGCAAATTTGACTGTTTATACGGTTTTTAACTGTTTATACGGTGGCTGTGCTAATAGTCTATTTTAGAAGTTGTACAAGGCGGCCATGCCAATAGACGCTATTAATTCTGAACATGCACATAATACTTTGCTTCAACAACTTTATTTTATTTTTTGTTTATTAAACAATTATTACAAGTGAGTGGTGGCCAATAAGGAAACTGAAGGCTAAACTGTCGTCCAATTAATGATAATTTTATTTTAAACACAGTTGTCCAAATAATGATAATTTTCTTTTAAACACAGTTATCAAAATAGTGGTAATTTTTTTAAATTTTAATAATAAATTTCTTCAATTCAAAAATCTTTTTAATATAAAAATAATTTTTTAGTAAAAAAATTTGCAAATAAGTAAAAATAAATTAATCCTGCCATTAAGAAAAAAATATTGAAACAGTTATCCTTGTTACTAATCAAAATTTAAAACTTAATGATAACAATAGTTTAATACTCATTTAAATAACAAAAACTCATCAATTACTCATTCACATATTGTTTTATAATTATACTTGATAATGTAATGTTTATTATAATTGTTTAGTATAAACCAAAGTAATATATTACTAAAATTTAAATTTTTAATGTCATAGTAACACTCTTGTTACTAAGTTCACAACCAAATTTCTTATTTTGATTTTTGCACAACACACCTCCAAAACATGAACTTTTAGGAATGAGGATGCTATGCTGAAGAACACTTTCAACTTTGCACTATCTGAGGCATGGTAGCAGAAGCATGAAATCAACTTGGTGCTTCTTGATTACAAATTTAATTTGATTATAGTTATGATACAAAGAAAGACTTTTTGAAATCTGATGATGATTAGTTGATCTAGAAATCAAGTCTGATGAAATATTATTCATCAGACTTGGTTTTTCTTAAAGTATTACGTTACAACTGTTTTGCCTACACACCTACAAAAATTTAAAAGTTATTTAAAATGCATGTTTTTTATTTTTCTTCTTCAAATAAGATTTTGTCACAGTAAAAATAAAAATTAAACTAGTTTAGTGTATTTTGTCAATAATCAGGTCAATAATTATGTCAATGATTATGTCAATAATTATGAAATAGTTATTTAATTGTTTTTTTTTTTTTTTTATAATTTCATTGAATGTGAGTATGCAAGTTCAAAATTATTATGCTTATCATATGACAAATTAGTATTTCATTTCATGGATAATATTTCTCTTCATGACATTTTTTATCTATTTTAAGATATCGTTTTCACATTTTTTAAGATGATTGCAATTCTGGTCTTCAATGTTCTAAATATGCTAATCACTGTTGGATGTTTAATATACGTTGTAACAATCATGAATTCTTGGGAGCCTGTTCATGGCTTATGTGTAACAGTATTCAGAAAATGCAGATGCTTGCAAGAGATAAATTACTATGAAAGTAAGATTATTTTATTATTACTATTTTTTTTTTGCTTTTATGTCAAGTAGAAGATACTCACAAATGATATAGGTCTATAAATTTTCAATTAAAAAAGTGCGCGTAAACTGTAAAGTATATTATTTTCAAATTAAGTTTGAAATTAACAAAAATAAAAACTTTACATTCATCTATAATTATTATGTTTAAGATCATTACTATAGTATATGTTTTGTAACTTATCATTCTTGTTATTTCCAGAATAAAAACTCCAATCTTTATAACTTACAAGGAATGATGAAAAGATGATGGGGTTAAAACAAAAACAATCTATTGGAAATTCAAATAATTTATGAAACGCAAGTGATGTGATACAACACTTCAAATACCTCATTGATTGATGTTAGCAACAACATTAAAAAAATGTTAAAACTTTTAAAATTATTGAATCAATCCTTTCTAATCAAAGTGTTAAAGTTGTATTTGGAAAAAAACAATAATCATTTCAATAACTTCTAGGCTACCACAAGGTTCCATCTTTGGTTCTGTGTTGTTGGTTGTCATATTATTTATCTTCCTGACAGTGCAAGCCAAAAGTGACATTTTTTACTGAGGGCCATATTTGCAAAGTTAGCATCTCCTAATGTTGCCTCTCTTTAATATGCTTGTCAAATTTTTACTCCTAATTTCATTCTCTACTTCTTTAAATTTCATATTTGTCTTTGTACAGAAAACTGTAGTCATATTTTGCCTAGTTCTTTTTTCGCCTAGTTAAAGCCCTCTCTCTTTTAGACTAGGTCTAACAAAATAATGTAAATGTTGTTGGACCTCCTCTAGCTGCTAAGGTTGAGTCTCTGTTCTGTTGTCGTACGGTTGCATCTTTTTCTCATTTTTAAAAACATTACTATGTTGCTGCTCAGGTGAACTATCATTGATTGTTCCATCAACCAAAGCACTTGCATGACTTGTTGCATCCTTTCTACTGTTGCAAAAAAGTTGCATTCTTTCTACTGTAGCTGTTTTTTTATGTTCGAAAATGTTTTGTTTACTTTTTTCCACAAACATTTTTACTTCTGAATTCCTCCTCATCTTTATGTTTACTTGACACATTTATTTAAATTTATTTAAAAACTGTAAACTGAGTTTTTAAATAAATTTTTTGTTCTTTAGCTCTTTTCTTTGTTTTTGGTTCTGATTTTCACTTTCAACAAATTTTCACTTCCAACAAGGCTGATCAAATCTTCAATTTTAATAGTGGTTGCTACTAGCAACCACTATTAGAATTGAAAGTTAATGAAAGAGGAAAAATGATAGCAGTAGTATGAATAGTTAATCATTTTCTTAAACTTTAAAAATTAATATTAGTATATTAGTTTATTGCTGTAATTTCAGTATTACTAATTGATGTTAAATATAAATTAAAATAAACAATAGACATCAGATTATGGTAATTACAAAAAAATTTGGAAGATCTGATCCTTTTTTAATTTATTCCATAAACCAATTTTATTTATATGGTATCACACTTTATTTTTATGTTTGTGGTTAGTTAGTAATAATAAAAGTAAACAAGTGGCATCAGATTGGGGCAATTAAAGAGTAGTTTGGGAAAGCTGATCTTTTTTTAATTCGATTCTTAAACCAATTTGATTTAAATAATCAGTAATTGTGTAGTTAGATTAATATTAAATGTAAATCAAAAACATTCAAAAAAATATATTTTGTTAAATAAATAAAGCAAAAGTTCATAAAGACTGTAGAAGTTCATTATGCATGAGCAAAGGTGACAGATATTTAAATGGCTTTATTATTGCAAGAATTTAAAAAATTGTAAAAAGTGCCATAAATCATGCAGATTTCAGTTCCATGTGGTATTTGCAACTCATATCGAATTATTTTTCAAAAAGAAATGCTTGTGATATTAAGTGTTCATTGTCGCCTCTACAATTTTTCTACAATAATTATCAAACCTTTGACACGAACTTCTAATGCAAGTGATTATCTTGTTTGCTAAATTGGAAAGCTTAAACTTAATGAAAAGAATCTTTTAGGACCAAAGGCACATTACAAAAATCCTCAAGATAACCCATCTTTTAAGCCTAAAACCAAATTTTTCCTTCCAAGCCTAAAATCAAATCTTTCCTTTCTGTCAACAGAAAGAAGATGTATGCATTGTTTGTCAATTATAGCTTAGGTTACAATCATTCCTGCACGATCGCAACAAGATGTCAAAACTTGCATGATTTGTTCAAGGAAGATCAAGTTGGAGCTGAGCAAATGGCATCTGCTGTAAAAAAAAGCATAAGATTTTCCTTCTCGAGAAAAAGTCTTGCTTAGCCAAGCAAAAGAAGGAAGATTATTTCCAGTAATACCAGGTAAATATACATTTTTTATGATTTAAAACTGAAAGTTCAACAATATTTGACAGTGAAAATGTTTACATTTATGCTTATTATTTCTTTTATTTTATTACACATTTGTTTGAAATAGTAGCCAGTTTAAAAGTTATTTCAAAATCTCATTATGTTTTTTTAGTCCCACAATCTGCACTAAAATCTGCATTAAAAAGTCTTTCAGCACAAATGTTGTTAAATGTGCAGTTAAATACTGAACTATCTAACATGGGAATTAAAAAACTAGCTTCAGCTCTCAACGAAGCAACAGAAACTCGACTGGTTGAAAAAAGATTACAAGGAAAATTTAATGCTACCAGAAAAACATTCAGTTGTCAATTTTGAAAATAGGAAGAAACTGAAGAACAAAAAACATGTTGTTCACTGCAAAAATTTGGAGGATTTAACTAACAAGGTGCTGTTGGACAGAGATTACAGCTACAACTGTTTTTTCAAACTTGGAATTAACGGGGGAGGATCATTTTTGAAAATAAGCAAAGCTGTTATTAAATTAACTGGCAAGAGTAACGAAACAAGTTTTTCTCGACAAATAAAACATCACATGCTTAGAGATTCTTTAACTCGAGACACAGGTGTTAAATGTCAGCTCATTGCTGCCATTGTTGAAAATTTACCTGAAACACACAAGAATGTCATAACATTGATGAATATTATTCATCAATGTTATGACATTTGTTGAATGACATGACATTCATTTTACATTTCATGCGATTTAAAAATGCCAAATGTTATTTTTGGAATTCAATCCCATTCAAGCAAGCATACTTGCTGCTGGTGCGGTGTCAATTCTAATAATCTATCAGAATGTGGATCTCTAAGATCTTTTGGCACATTGAACGAAAAATATGCTGAGTTTGTTGCTAATGGCTCAGATTAAAACTATGCAAAAAATTCATCATTTATCAATATGGACAACTCAGTGCTCATTTAGATGTTATTTAGCCAATGGAACTCCATCTTGTTTTTAAAGTTGTTAATCATCTTTTCAAAAATTTTTCAAAATTGCGAGCTGGAGCCAAAAAATAGCCAGCTGAGTTGCAGGTTTGGTTCCAGCACCATAGCAGACGCATCAAAGGTAGCCAGCTGAGTTGCATGTTTGGTTCCAGCTGTACCATAGCAGACGCATCAATGCTTATGAAGTCTTTGGTTTTGTTGAAACTTTAGGACATTTCAAAGAAGTTATTTCTTTATGTTTTCAAACAATGTCAAAGTAAAGCATTAGGACTGAAATTCAGATATTCAAAACATCTTTTCTAATTTAACCAATATCAGTCACACCAAAGGTTCATGCTTTCTTCTACCATTTGTGTTAGCATCAATCTTCATGCGGAATCTTTAGTGAACAAGCAATTGAAACATCGCACTCAAAATTCTGGTTGGGAATAATACAAGCACTGCTCTGATCATTCAGAATTTGGAAAACAACTTTTTAACTGTGTTGTTGACTATAACAGCAAGCATTTGTAACATAGAAAATCAAAATGTTTTAGTTTTTAATTCTAGCCTATACTTTCATACAATGAAAGTATAGGCTAGAATTAAAACTAAAATTGTTAACTTTGATCTGTTTAAAATAACTACTTATTTCTTGTCTCTAGTATTCCACAGCTATTGTTGCTATGCTACACTATGGTATCTTTATATTTTTGGCTGCATGTATAGTTTATTTACTTAAGATATTGTACAAAAAATTTTTTAATATTCAATTAAAATACAAATATTTGCAAGGAAGTAGAAAAATTATTTTAGGTTGACATCTGTAGAGAAAATCTCGACGTTTTGAGTACTTTAGATGCGATTTTTTTAAATACTTTAATTTCAATCAAGTTAAATTTGGGTTTTAAACATTAAGGTAAAGGTTAAATCTTTTTTTTTTTTTAATTTTCAAGAAATTATCTCAAATATTTTTAAAAATTCTAAAGTAAATGAAAGTTCATAAAAAAAATTTATGTTTTTTCTAATTTTTTTTCTTCACTATTTGGAGTAACAACCATACAATGAATTGAATCCCCACAAATTGAGAAGGATGTAAATTTGCATGTCACCCGTTCTAAACACCAAGAGTTTTGTTGATGAAATTTGAAATATATAAAAGAGCTTTGGCCTACAATAAAATTACATTTTTTTTACAAAAATGATATTTATTTTCTAATTTTTAAGAAAATAATATTTGGCAGCTAAATTTTACGCTATTTTTACAAATTTACCCTAATGTATTTGCCCTTATTTACCCCATCTAATAAAATATTTAAAAAAATTGTGGTATCCTAAAGTAAATCAAAATTATTTTTAAAAAAATTTAAGTTTTTATAATTTTTTTTTATACTTGCATTTTGGAGTAACGACCATGCAATGAATCAAACCCCTTCAAATTGAAGGGGCTTACAAATTTGCATAGTTACTGTTTCTAATCACTAAGAGTTTTTACAATGAAATTTGAAATATATAAAAGAGCTTTGTTCTAACTATAAAATAATGTTTTTTTTTACAAAAATAATATTTCCCGGGGTCAAAAAGAAAAATTTATTGGGGTAATTCTTCCCCCAAGTTCTAATTGCTGTAATTTTTTGTAAACCATCCTCATTTGATATTATCATAAAGATATAAAAGTTTATTCCATACTTGAAAGTCAATCATTTTGAACACCAAAAATCCAAAATTCACCTGTTAAAATATAAAAATCTAGGTCAGACAAAATTAAAAGATTTCAAAAAACACCTCTAAATGTACTTGCAAGATCTATATAATGCTTCCATAGAAGGATTGTTTTTGTATTTCCAGATGAGGTTGATTGTGAATTGAACAGGGTGTGTATGATCAATTTCAGCAAAAAAAAAAAAAATTTTTTTAATATTTGAAATTACAATCAAAAACTTTGTATAAAAATAATGAACATATGAAATATAGAATAAAAAAAAGTTTTTTTAATGTTTTTAAAATTTTTTTAAATGTTTGCTATTTTTTTTGTAACTAAAATATTTTGTTTGTTTTTATTATTTATATTTTATGAAAATAAGCTTTCTTAACATGAAAATACTTAATAAAAAATTAAAATTTTCTAAATTTTTTTTGTTCTTAATCAAATATAAAATTTTTAAATATTTTGTTATTAATGCTTTATTTCTATTTGACTTAAAACCAACTTTGTGATTTTTTGTGCTAATTTTTTAAGAGATATTTTTTGTTTTGGTTAGTAAATTTAGTTAAAATGTTGATTGTTTTTTATTTATTTTTTGGTTATTATTATCATACCGTCAGGGGTAGTAATAGTTTGCGTAACTAGCATTGGCTACTATATTTGGTTATTATCAATTTTAATACCAAATATCTATTAATGAAATTACAAAAAACATGAATATTACTCTTTATACTTCTCCAGTAAAAAAACTGTGCTGTAGAAATTCAGTTTCTACAGTACAGTTTATATTTTTGTTTCAAAGAAGTTTATATTTTTAGTTTCAAAAGAAATTTTGAATTTATGCAGCACTTGATTTGCAATTTAGCACAATAATATAAGTAAATAGATATTATGATATCAGATTTTTTTTTAACTAATTCTTTTTGTTGCTTTTTGCCCAAATTAAGTGTTTAGCATTTAGTTTCAAAAGGCTATTATCAGTTAATCTTCTTCCCATAGATTTCTTTCTAATAAATGATTTATAGCAGCAAGTAAATCAACTATAGATGTAGTGAGTAAAATGCTATGCTTGTTGTTCCAGTAGAAAAATAGGACACATTGTAAAATGTTAGCTAAAATCAGTTCAAGTTTTGAAATCATGTTTCTTATAATTTTTGCACAGGCATTAAATACTTCAAGACAAACAGATTCTAAAATCCATGAGAATCAAATATAGCAACAAGAAGATATAAGAAAGTTATTACTGTTGTCAGTTTTAAAGTGATCAAAAGTTATGCTAGGTTTGGGAATAATCTACTTTTTTTATACTTTATTGTAAGCTTTTGTACAGGGCGGTACATAAATAACGTTGTGATTTATTTAAAAAATAATATTTTTTTTCTAATTTTATTTAATATTTACAAATTATGCACCACCCTAAGTAAATATTTTACCCTATTATCTAATTTTTGAGATAGAATGGTATTTGTGATAGATGTTATTGACCTTGAGTAAACATTGAACACAGTTTAATGAAACTAAATCTAGAAGCTGCTTTGGGATTTTTAAATTATCTTTCTTAATGACCTTCCATCTTCAATTACAATTAGCACAGCCTGATCGTTCTCTTTTGTAAAAGTTGTATCTATTGGAAGTTGAATAAAATATGATGTTAAGGAAGAATAATTTTTACTAATATTTTTTTAAAGATGTTATCATTTTTTCTTTTTCCTTTTTTCTTTTTAATCTTTTTGTGATAAATAAAATGTTTTAATAGTTCTATTGTTTCATGTAAAAAATCCATACAAATATATAAAAAATATCAACAAATAAAGACAAGTAAATAAAGACAACCCTCCCCCTTCCTCCAAAAATGAAAAGCAAGAAAAGACCTTTTGTATATTTCCATTAAAACCAAAACAAAGGATTAATTCTAAAAATGTGAGTCATTTTTTTAAAATTGAAATTTAAATGGAAACTGCAATCAATTTTCAAATAAAGTTGAATCATAGTGTTAATTTTACTGTTAGTTATTACATGAATGGCCATACTAGTTACAGTTTCCAATAACTCAAACCATCAAGGGACCAAAGAAAACAGTTTGAGTAAAAGAATGTTCAATTGAAGTAGAGCAAAACAATTGTTCTTGTTTTTATGGGGACTATAGCCTAATTTTGCTTTTGAAAGTAAATATTAGTTTTAAAAGTAAATACTACTTTTAAAAGTAAATATTGCTTTTGAAAGTAAATATTGCTTTTTAAAATTAAATATTGCTTTTAAAAAATAAATATTGCTTTCGAATAAAAAAATGAATTAAGGCAATATAGTTGTGTAATTTTAAAATATTTACATATGATATATAACACATATGATAATACATATGATATATAACACATATGATAATACATATGATATATAATAATCTTTTGTTTGCTTTGTAGCAGTTTGCTTAACTCTAGTTTCATAACTGTGAGATGCTGACTTTTTTAACTACTGGTTGTAATCATTTTACAAATTTATTTTTACAACTTGGTTGTTTGCAAAAAATAAATTTTTACAAATGACTAGGTTGTATTACAAAAATACTAAATATCCATAACATCTAAAATGTTTATATTTTTAAGCTAAAATATATTCAAAAAGCTAAAATATTTTCAAAAAGCTAAAATATTTTAATGATAAGCTACTTTTAATTCTCTTCACTGACACATTATGTATTTTGTAAACCATGTATTCTTTTTTTTTTTTTTTTTTTTTTTTACATATCTTTAGTTTCACTTCACAGTAAAACAATGATTTTACTGTGAAGTGAAACTATAGATTTGTAAAAAAAGAGCCTTTTATATATATGATTAAAGTTCTTATTTCATTATTTTTTGTGGTCATTTAAAAGCGTTCTGCTTTAAACTGTTTTATTTTTTATTTTTTTTTTTTTTTTATATTTCAGTTTTTTCTTTCTAAAATATTAAAGAAAAAAACTAAAAATATTGCCACCATTTGTGAAGTCGTTGCAATAAAAGAACACTAGAAACTTCTCTAACAGTTTAAATAAACTATAATTATCATTAGCACATTTTTTTTTTTTTTTAAGAAAGCAATTAGCACTACTAGGTTTTATGGTAGTATTTTATAAAACAATGGTCTTCTAGTATTAATTATTTAATTTCATATATTTTTTAAATTTTTTTTGCGCTAAAGATAAATCACTGTTATAGATTAATTTTCATATTATCATAGATCATATTTTCTGTAACTACACTGAAAATAACAATCACTTGAACTTTCTAATCAAATTAATAAAACTAATTAAAGTTAAGAAGTTCTTTGTGCGTTGTATAGCATTTAATAAATTACTAAATAATACTAGTTTTATAAAAATTTAATTATAATAAATAAAAAATTTAAATAAGTTATTAAAAGTGCTCAAAAATATTAAACATCTAGAATTACTTTGACTTGTTGACAAACTTTCCTTCTTATTAAAAACTCTGTTTTTTTAATCTGTCTTTTAATTAATTTAATTTTAATTTTTGTAACTCATTTTTAATACTTGCTAATTTAGACATTATTTCAAACTGTTCATTGGAGCATTGATTGCCGTAAAACTTTGCTGTGTGTTTTTGTTTAAAAAAAGCGGTGGTTTGATATAAATTTATGTTGAAGTAATACTTTTAAAGTATGTTTTTTTTTAGAAAGTTCAGTAAATATTATAAAAGAAAAATTAAATTTTTTTTTAATTTACCGGGCAAAAAACAGTTGACCATCAGTTTTATGTGATAGTCAGTCAATGACTATCACATAAAACTGATGGTCAACTGTCCATCTTTGCACTGGCTTAGTATAATAACATCTATCAAATACATTAATATTTATGAAGGGACAGATTTCAGTATTTATTTGCTTATAATTTTATTATTTATCAGTTTTTAAATGATTCTCAAAAAATACTCAATCAATTTTTTAAAAATCTTTTTAGTGCCATCAAGTTGTGAATTCTATAATTCAACTGAAACACTTTTGGTTGTAACATGCATTAATCTTGGACTTTCTGGAATATTGACATTGATATCATCTTTTATAAGCTGCTTTTCACTTTGCAATGTTGAGGAGGTATGTATTTTTATATATATATATATATATATATATATATATATATATATATATATATATATATATATATATATATATATATATATATATATATATATATATATATATATTTAAATATACATACTTTATTTATCACATTTTTGGTGTAAGGTTACAAAAAGTAAAATAAAAAAAATAACAGTTAGTTAATATTATGTCAATTGTAATTGTTTAATGTTTAAAAATGATACTGCTGAATAAACATATAGTGCAGTATCTTTGTTAACAATAATAAGTTCAGTTTACTTAGTATAGATATGCATGGTATCATGTACAGTGAATAGAAACAATTTTCAACTTTTGTTTAAAAATTTGAATACTTGCAGTTGTTCTAGATAAACATTTTTTTTTGCCCAAACACAGGTCTCTGTTAAACCTATTTGTTTATAGTATTTAAATTTTTAAATTTTATTTGATTTTAAAGAAAAATAAATAAAACATGGTGTTTCTATTCACCCCGCCAATAGGGGTGAATAGAAACAGTACTTCAATTTCATGTGCTTTTCTATTGAAACGAATCGGTAAAGAATAGAAACGGTAAAATATTTTTAATTTGTAAGTGGATAAATACAAATTTATTTCTCAACATAACACAACTGTAAGTAAAATTAAATAGGTATACATTTGCCGTATTAAACAAGATTAAATTATGATTTTTTTGAAAATTTAATTATTTGAGTTTTTATTTAGTCTGTTTTTTTATAATAAATTGTAATTAAAAATAAAGTGTAATTATATTAATAAATTGTGTAATCAGACAAGTCATCTTTGAAAAATATCATGCCTTTTAATCGCGCGCTCAAGCACAATACTGGGGAGGATAGTTTTAGGATGATGTCGTTTCTGTAGGCAAGAGATTGTTTTTCAGTTGTGATAAACTTATTAGTTTGTTTAACACTTTTCAAAAATGTTACAAAGGAACTATCGTCTTCAAAGTAAGCAACCTTGCATATATAACATCTAAAAGATGCTTTTGTTTTACCATAAACTTTTCCCAACATAGTCATCTTCATTGATGACAAGGCTTTTGCCTGAGGCCCTGTCAGTACTTACATCCAGATCAGGGGAATCTGAAGTCACTATGCTACACTGAAAAATCATCTTCGTTTTCTGATGATAACTCCACACGTGTTTGGCTTTTATTTGGCTGAACTTGTTTGGAGGAACATGTGTTTTGGGGATTTAAGCTCTCATCCTCATCAACAAAGCCCTCAACACCGATACTTTTGCCAGGTTTCACATTAACTTTGGTTCTTTTTTTTCTTATCTTAGGAGTCTGATCTTGTCTCAGACTGTGAAGGAGCTCTTTGAAACTATTGTCAACCGCTTCATTGTTATTTTCAGGATCCTGGCTTTCCTCTTCATCAATAATTTGAGGAAGCATAGAGAGAACTTTGTTCCTGTTTAAAGATGCTATACTGCATTTTTTTTAAACCGGTGATCAAATTTTCTTTCTTCAATGAATCACGCAACTTTTTTAACAACGTTGGAAATTTATTCTTAGGAACAGTTGCTTCCGCTCTTCCTGGACCTTTTTTCCACTCTTCGATAATCTGTCGCTATGTTGATTTCAATGGCCAAAAAATTGTCACATCCAGAGGTTGTGTCAGATGGGTGGAGTTAGCCGGGAAAAAAATAAAACTGATATTATCGTCTTTTTACAAATTCACAGATTCCAATGAAAAATGGGAAGACAAATTGTCCCCAATCAGAAATTTTCGACCTGTTTATTTTTTCAGGTATGGAAGAGCAACTGTCAGTATCCAATCTTCAAAGCTAAAGGAATCAAATCAGCCAGACTTTGTTCGATTGTACCTGGCATTTTTTGGCCCACCCTCTGTCCAGCTTTGGTACAAGTGAATTGCCTTGTACACAACGTAAGGGAGTAAAATAGTGCCATCAACAGCGGCTGCAAACATCACAGAAGTAGATGCCTTTGATGAGTTTATGATTCTTTCTGGATATTTTGTCCCTCTATGTGTAATGACCTTTTGTTTACCAGGATCATCACTTAGATTCGTCTCATCATAGTTAACAATTTTAGATAAAGACATCCTGTAATTCATTTGTGAGTTCATCAAAATAGTTGTTAATTGTATCTGATGTCACACCAGCTCTCAATTGTTTAATTATTTGACACATTCTCATGGCCAGTTGATCCTGGCCATTTTAAACATTTTAAAACTGTTTCAACAAAGTCACCGCCAGGGAGGTTATGTTTAAACCTCTTAACTTTTTTCCCTATTCGGTCTAAGAAGTCTTTTATAAGAAGTTGTAGAGTTGTAGTGTCAATAGGATAGCCCCATTCACCACATATGTTCAGCCTTTCAACAAACAGTTGTTCTTCTTTGAGAGATAAAGCTGTCTGACCACCATGTTTCTTTATATTAGGACCTTTTTTCAAATGTCAATATATAATACTATAATGTAAACCATGTTTCTCAGCAGGCTTCTGAAGAATGAGACCCTTCTGTATGTCAGAAATTGCCTTTTTGATTTTTTTTGGATTATACTTTTTGTAGCCTCCTGTAACCATAGGTTTGTAGTGTCTTGGCATTTTACAGGGTCCTGAAATAAAACAGTTGTATCAGTTAAGTGTCTAACATAAATAAATAGCACACAGTATGTATTTTATACAGTATAAACGTGATTTAGTATTAAATTTTTTTTGTGGTGTGTATAGAAACACTAGAAATTATGTGTTTCTATTTACCCCGTAAATTCAGAAAACCTATCCTAAAAAATAAGAATTATTATTGAAATAATATTGTTCAAATTAAAGCTTAAAGTTAGCCGAAATCTTTTATATGAATAATTGAAGTATGTTTTGTACAGCTATTTACCTAAGAACACTAAGTATTCCGATTTACCTGGAAAGTTCAAAGTGGATAAAAAAAACACAAAAATCGGGTAGTAAAATTCAATGCGAAAAACAAACAAGAACCAGTGCTGCCAATTAAGCAAACCATTATTTCACTTTCAGGTTAATGTGTAGCAACCTAAAAAAAAATAGTTGCCACTATTTATCCATAGTTATGTAGAAATTAGATTATATATATAAAAATTAAGTTTTGTTTCTATTCACCTCACTATTGCTATTCACCCCTTTTTGCGGTATACACTTTAGACAATGTACTACAGTATTATGAATTTTTGAAATCACTATAAAATTCTGGATTTTTTGAGATCCAGGTTGATATATTTTTTAAGAAAAAAAAAATATCCTGGTTTATGGGAGCCATTGTGTAATCAAGGGTCATGGTGGGTAACCTTTTTCAAAAATTAAATGAAACCAATGACTTTTCAATCACTTTCAAACCAAAGTTCATCTGTTTTTTAAACTGGAGTTACCAAAAAGTATAACATTATCTGTTAGAACTTTCAATTTTTTTATTGAACCATTTGTGCTGAGAGTGGAAGGAATCTGATATTCATCATCATCCAAAGAACTAGATCTACTTGCGATAACAATGTTATTTTCTGATGAAGATTAAAATAGTTTTTTCCATCAATTAGGCCTCACTGCTTTGACACTTCCTTTCTATTTTAATGAAAAATTAACTGAAGTATTATAAAAAAAAACTGCAAATTTTTGAGTCAACAAAACATGAAGAAAATGTTTTAAAAAGTTTTGATTTTAGACGAAAAAACTTATTTGAGCATCAAGGAACAGTTATTGTAAAAGAATTTGACTTAGCTAAATGATGAATCATGGGAAATTGTGTTTTGGTTTTTCAAAAAAGAGATTATAGCATCCACCAGCAGCAACCAAGCAATCACTTATGTCTAATTACATTTACAATTCATTTTAGAACATTTCAATGTTTAAGATAAATGGTATCATTAGAAAAACTATCCAAAATATGGCAACATTATTTTATACAAAAATTGATTTATAGTAGTAGAGATTGGAATTAGGAGTAAAATACCGAAAAAATGATAGTAAGAGGCAGGGCCGGCGCGAGTAGGTGTCACGTGGGGGGGGGGGTGTCATTACAACTTTTGCCGATTAAAAAAAAAAAAAAAAAGGTCCTCGTTTTCCAAAAATTGCTGACTGTCATGACGACATTTGCCGACTGTCTAACCTATATCAAAAGGGAGTCCACATTTGCCGACTAACTAGGTCCAATTTGCCGACTAAAGGTCCAGTTTGCCGACTAAAAATCATTGATGGGGGGGTGTCACACCCCTATCGCGCCAGCCTTGGTAAGAGGTAACCACACACCCCTATCGCGCCGGCCTTGGTAAGAGGTAACCTTTGCATATGCTCAAATATAGATAGCATTTAGTACTTTGAGTAATAAGTTATACAGTTGTCTTGTTCTCGCTAATCAATCTAGTTTCCACAATCTGACCTTGACAATACATATCCAGAGTATTACCAAAAACACCGTCTAGGAACAGTATAGCACTAATAATATTTTGATATTTGCATTTGCTGGAGGACTCAGCTATTTTTTTTTTTTTTTTTTTTTTTTAACTTTCACAAAGTATAGTAAACTTACCACCAGTTGGTGTTTGAAATAAATTAACCTCAAAATAAACTAAATCCCATGGAATCCCAAACTATGCTAATTATGAATTGAATACTTCAACTTCATTATTAGTACCAATTTTTAATTACATTAATTGGTTTGTTAATATGAAATATGACATTCGATATATTAATTGTAATTATATAGTATGGTGATACCATACTATATTATTACTAATAATATTATTACTCTGATACACCATATATTTATATTATATTATATATTTGATATGTTACTATTTTTATATATCAGGTGTATTGGTATGAACCGAGCATTAAGATGCAAATATGTTGATAAGGAACATTTGTTGAATTTTTGTTTTGTTTGGTTGGTATAACATCTCTCAATCATATTTATTATACATCAAGTCATTGAACAAATAACATCATATTTTTTTATTGTGTTAAAAATATCAAAAATTTTTACCAGACGATTTGTGAATAGCATTAATTTGTTTGTTTTCATTTGAAGAAAAGTGCTGCTGAGTCGTATCTAATGCATTTTGAAGCTGAGATGTTTTTTTTTTTTTTTCAATGTGAAAAAATGTAAAAACAATGTACCTGCACTTAGGTGCATTATCAAAAGCAAAATTAGTTTTAGACACAACCAAAACACTTGGCTGGGAGCTGCTACTCCACCATCTGTATTCACCAGCTTTTGCCTCATCCAACTATCATTTGTTTTCATCAATAGGACACGCATTGGCTGAGCAGTACTTTGATTTCTATGATGAAGTCTAAAATTGGATGTCTTATTAGTTTGCTTTAAAAGAAGAAAATTTCTATTGGCACAGTATCTACAAATTGCAAGAAAGGTGGTTAAAATGTGTGGAAGACAATGGTCACTAATTTGAATAAAAGTTTTTTACTTTCCCATTCAAAACTAATGTTTCGTATGTGTGTGTTTATATATATATATATATATATATATATATATATATATATATATATATATATATATATATATATATATATATATATATATATTGTTATGTTAGCCAGGAACATATTTTATACAGCGTTGTGCACTGTTTAGAATTTGTTATTGTATGGTTGTCCACTACAAAAAAAATAGAGTTTTGGTAGTTTTAAAACTAATTGGGAATACCGTGATATATGCGATACTATCAGAAACAGTAAAAAACATCTATCTTCTAAAATAATTCCCAACTTTGGTTTGGTCACAACTGTTCTTTGATCCATAAATTTCAGACAAAAAATTGGGAGTGATGAACAGAGTCATTTTAGTCAATTTAGACTGAGACCGAGGCAAAAAGTTTAAGAGTTGTAAATTCCAAATTATAAAGAGACCAGTTGAAAGAACTGGTTGATGCAGGGTTATCTAGTTTAATTAGCAAGGGTTCAAACAAATTCATCTCCATAAAACTTGGTTTCTTTTTTTTTTAAATTAATATTATGTTATGTAAAAGAGTTATGTTGAATTAAAATCGAGTTGTTTTTTAATCTTTTAAAAAAATTTTATGCCTTTTGGAAGGGTAGATTTTGAAATAAATTATATGTACATATGCAGAAGAAAAGAGGTGTGTTACACAGTTTCCATTTTGTCTCTATTTTCTTAATGTCCTTGAGTAATCTGTTTTCTTCAAATTTGTTGACAAATCTGTTTTCTTTATGTATCGGTTTGAATAAGTTCATAACATTACACTTGACTTTGTAACGATTATACCATTATTATAATCATAACAATCAGCATTCAATGTTTGCAAATTGATAATATTTCAAGTCTTTTTACCACAACTCCATAAAGCTTGCCAAAGAAATATTTGCCAACAAGTTATATCTTGCATTACATATTTAAAATTTTTATAAAAATTTCCTTGCATAGTAAAATAACTAATAGCATTTCCTACAACTTGTTTGAAGTTGCGTATTACATACGCTTCATCATTAAGTAATAAACAATTGCCATGTTTGGTAAGATTTGTATGATGCAACAATCGATTTTGTTTTTAACTGTTTTCTGCATGTCATCCTAAAGCCATCATTGAAGAACTTAAAGCCATCATTGAAGTGAGTTATTCTGTCTGTGGTGGGTGATATCATTATCTTTAAGCTCCTAAAATTGTATTACTTTCAGAAATGCTCAGATTTTGCTTCAATAATCTGATGATTGCCTATTGAATTTTTCTTTTAGCTGAACGGCGTTTACTACCACTTCTGGATTTTCTTTCATTTCTTGTATTGTCTAATCACAGTCAAGACAATTTTTTTTTTTGCAGTTGAGCAAAATGAAGCTTTATATGTATAACAAAATCATGTTCAGAGTAAATCATATAAAGTTAGGCTTTTGTACATCTTTTACTTTACAAGTCATGCATCACTAAAAAAAGTAACTGTATTTTTGAGAATGGAAATGTCATTTTGGATCTATTTTTTAACACAAGTTTTGACAAAATGGCTTATTTTTCATATTGCTAAATTTATAAGTTTTATATGTCATTTGAAAGATAGTTATATATCGAGTAAAAAGTTTGTTTTTTGCATAGTTATAAAGTTTGGTTATGCAAAGTTATAAAGTTTGGTTATGCAAATTTATAGCTTTACAAAGTGGGAATTGTGATGTCATAGTTTTGTCACAATTTTGGTTTTTCTTAAGATAAAAAGTAAGATATACCGTTAGAAAGATTTTTAATGCAAAATATTCAATTAAAATATTTGTTGTTACGTAAATCCTTACGTAAATTCAATTAAAATATTTGTTGTTACGTAAATACGTAAATTTGTTGTTACGTAAATCCTGACTGTTTTTACAAAACTTTATGTTCCATAAAATAATATAAAAGATATTTTTAAGTAATTATCATAATAATAGGATATTTAAAAGGTGTCAAAAAATATTTTTAAAGTTTTTTTCTTCATTGCTTTTATCCTTTTATTCATTTTACTTCTTTTATATGCAGATCATGAATTTCACTTTTTCTAAAATTATTCAGTCAACAGGTAACTTTAATTTGAATCTATCCCAAGGCAATCCCCTCACGCTGGCATTAATCCTGTTATTGTTGCAACACCTAATTATGTTATTGTTGCAAATGCATATTCTTGTTTGACATTAGTTTTTTTGAGTTCAATTTGGAATTGCATCAGATAACTTTTAGCAAATTAAATGAAGCTATTTTTTTATCAGTAGGAACCGCTTCAAGTTATTGGATCTTTATTCCTATTTCTTATTTTTTTTTTTTTTTTATATTTTTATATTTTTTTTCTTATTTCTTTATTCTTATTTCTCCGTTATTGGATCTTTATTCCTATTTCTTGGGGTTCAAGTTTTATGCTTTGTCTAACATTTTCTATTTAGTTATTTACATAATAACTTTTTAACCATGAAAATGAGAAGCCTGTTCCGTCGGTGGTTTCGTCAAGGACAACTTTTCAGAGACACCTTTGTACATCGCTTTAAAATATTTTGAATACTTTGTGTTTGTAGAGAATAGAGGTTTGTTTATATATCAAGACAATCCTGTAATTAATTTGCTAAGATTAAAAAGATTAAATTGCTTAATTCTGTTAGCAGAAAAAGCATTTGCAAAACCATTGAGAGCAGTTTGACTAAAAAAATTAACTAGGCGGAGCTAATCCTTACAAAGTTGAATAATGGTTTTGGTTAAATTAAAAAGTAAACCCTTTTTTGTATAATAAAGTCTCTTGATGTCCGTTGTATAATTTTTTGAACACTTTAACAAAAGCTTCTGCAATTTTATTGCCTGTTGCCCAGTATTCTATGAATGTTCCGGAGATCTCCCTCATTCTTTCTAACTTCCTAACGGAATTCAGGAACTTTGCTGTTCCTTTACTAAATATTGATAAAGTGGAGTATATAAATATTTTGTTATATTAGGTGGAATCACATTCATAAATAAAAATAAAATGAGCTTTGACTTATGCAACATCTATTTTGTTTTTTTTTAATACTCCAATGTTTTTTGCTATGTTTCTGAAGAATTAAGATATAACTTTTTGTTCCAGTGTTGCATTATCTGTATCATCAGTGTTGCATCATCAGTGTTGCATCATCAGCCTCAACTATTGTTAGAGAATCTTTTGCGATCTCAAGAGCCATGGAAACATTTTTTGCGTCAGCATCACCTTCACATACATAAACACACAGTTTATGTATGTGAAGGTGATGATTAGTGAGGTTCGCTGCAAGCAACGATATTATTTACTCCTTATTGTGCGGGTTAGCCAAAAAAACGTTCCTTGGAGTATGAAGCTTTTTTATCTCCCTTAATGATAATCGCTTTAGAATTGTTTATATTGTTACCAACGTTTCGATGAGGCTCAGCACCAATTATTATTTTATCAGATAAATATTGCCACTCATGCTTTACCCCGTAAATTACCGTAAATAAAATTTCATAATTTTTAATTTTATAACTATAGTTGTTAAAAATAAATAATTTTTTATGCAATTATTTATCGTTTTATTTAAGAATTCTTCAAGTTTTGTTTTGCAACAACCGGCTGTTGTATCCTTCAGTTCAAACTGTTATTTTGATCATCCTGAACCACCCCCGAGCTACTCGCCTCGCCAATTTCATCTACAACCTGTCGAAAATTACTCAACACACGATAAGGCGATGTTGATTAAAAACCAAGATATTCAATAAATTTGATGAACACTAAAAGTTATGTTTTTAAAAACTTAGTTGACAATTTTATACGATAATAATACGATATGGCGATGTTGATTTGCGATCAAGATATGTGTGATAAGTTTGTTGAAGTAAAAGTTGTGTTTTTATAAGCAGTGTGTTCATATTTTTTTAGTTTTAGTTAGAGTTTATTAGAATCACAAATTATTTTAAATGTGTATTTAATAGATTTAATAATATATTTTATAAATATCTCTGTAAATTTATTTTTTCGAGTTTAAAAAGGTTAGTAAAAGTTGAAATTTATTTTCAAAGTAATTTTTTTTTTTACATCACAACATTCAAACAATGCATCATTACCTCGGTTTTTCGGTATGTTTATAATGTTTAGTGACAAAAGAAAATAAGTGAAATTTCTGAAAAAAGATAAAATAGATAGTAATAGTAGATGCTGTAGCCGCCCGAAGACGACAAGTGTGTGTATTAATATCACACTTAGACAGCCGTGTCACTAATAATTTAATTTAATAGGAGCCAATCGTCTAATTGTGCTTTAAAAATGTTTATTGATTTTGCATTAGCCACTTCTCTTGATAGTTTATTCCATGTTTTTGTTATTCTGTTAGTAAAGAATGAGTGTCTTAAGTTGCACTTTGTTTTTTCGCGTTCAAACCTGACACCGTTTCCTCTCGATAATTAAAATCATTTGGCTTGAAACCGTTTATTAAGTCCACATTTTCCATCTTGTTTAATAACTTATTAGTCTGGATCTAATCTCCACGAATTCTGCGTTCATATAATGGAGTGAGGCCATAAATCTCCACTCTTTTCACGTATTTCATTTTTTGCCATTGAGTCTCGTAGTCCTTTGTTGAACTTTCTCAAGCATTTCTCCTTTAAGCTGAGGGGACCACACTGGAACCGCGAATTCAATTAATGGGCGAGCAAACGTCACATATAAGACTTTAAGAGTCTTCACATCCAGTTCCACAATTGTGTTTTCAATCATTGCCAGCATTTTAGTTGCCTTCGAGCTGCAATATATAATTTGCTGTCTCCATTTCATGTTTGCCGAGAATAATACGCCTAAATCTTTCTGAAGAGTGGTTTGTCTGAGGACAACATTATCGATAAAATATTTGTGCTTTGGATTTATACTGCAATAGTGTATTATTTCGCATTTTTCTTCATTGAATCTTACTAACCATTCTTTTGACCAGTCCCAAGCATTGTTTATATCTCGTTGAAGACTGTTGATTTTCTCTATTGAGTTCACATTGATCATTATTTTCGTGTCATCTGCATAGAGCTTGGTTATATTTTGTATTCTGTGCGGCACGTCATTTATGACAACAACAAACAAGATCGGGCCAATTACCGATCCATGCGGAACTCCGCTGTAGATTTCGCGCCAGCTCGAGACAATATCACCGCTTACTACGGTGATATTGTCTTTGTTTTCTTTCTTTTAAAAATTCCTCTAACCACTTTAACAGCTTTCCTGTTATTCCATACGCTTTTAATTTTAAAACAAGTCTTTTGTGCAGCACTGTGTCGAAAGCTTTAATAAACCATATCTACCGGACAATTCATTGCGATATTTTCTGTTAAATAATCCACAGTTTCCATCAGATTTGTCGTGCATGATCTAGTTTTAACAAATCCATGTTGACACTTCAATAAAAATTTATTGTTCGTAAAATGTGCTGTAAGTGAGTCTTTTATTATGCTCTCCAGAATTTTACACGGCACAGAAGTCAGTGAGACTGGTCGATGATTATTCGCTTTTAGCTTACTGCCTTTGTTCTTAAAGATTGAGGTAATGTTCGCTAATTTCCATTGCATAGGCAGTTCGCTCTTTTTAATTGATGACATAAATATCAATGTGATTGGCAATGCAAGTCCTTCGACGCAATTTTTTATTATGATAGTACTCAATTGGTTAACATCACATAATATGTCGTTTGATAATTTGCACAATCTTGTTACAACCTCACTGTAATTAATTGCACTCTCGTCAAAAAAATAGATATTTGTCTTCACATCTTGATCCAAATTCTGATAATACTTGGTCGCCCTCTATTGTGAAAGACTTTTGAAAATTCTCGTTTAAGATGTCAACAATCTAATGGTCGTATTTGTAACATTTCCTTCGACGTTTTTTATTGCTTTAATTGAGCGCATTACATTTTGTTGATCGTTCACATTTAAATAGTATCTTCTTGTTCCTAATCGATTTGTAGACCAGTTCGCGTTCATTTCTTTTCTGGCTTTTCTCGTTTCAGTTTTAACTGTTCTACACAATGCTTTGTATTCGTTTACCATATTTTTGTTTTTTTAATTAGTGCAACAATTTAAATGTCTCATTCGTCTTTTGTTCTTCACAAGTTTTTTTAGTTGGTTGTCAATCTAAAAAATTCTTTTACGAGTCCTGTTTTTCGAGCTGTGACACGGTATATATTTTTGACAAGCTTCGTTAACGTAAAAAATGAGCGTGTCGTACATCTCCTAAACATTAATTGCATCGAAAATGTTTAACCAGTCTACGCTTGTAAAAAAATTGTTCATTCCTAAGAAATCAGCTTTTTTAAAAATATATTTCCAATTGCTAGCTACAGTTATTTTCTCATGGTGATTGAGTGCATATTTAAAGCAAATTACAAGATGTCCTTTTCTTATATTCCCCAATACCGCATTTGTCTCAACTTGAAATAATCTTTGTTCGTTTACTGTGAACAGTAAATCCAATGTACTTTTGTAAGTTGATTCGTTTAGTTAAAAAGTAGGTATCGTAACGTGCTTAGAATTAGAATTAGAAATTCGTCGTTTATTATTTCCGAGAAATGATGTTCTATCGAGTGTCCACTGGAGTTTATTGCATGGACTACTCCATCTGACCATTCAATTTTTGGAAAATTAAAGTCACCCATAAATAAAAGAACTTTAAAACCCCGTATGTCCACATATTCCTTTGCTGTTCTGAAAACATTTTTTTAACAGTTCCATATCTATCACATTGTTTGGTCGGTATATGCATCCTACCAAATATTTGTCGTTCTTGAAAACTAGTACAGCCCAAATTTGTTCTAAGTCAGTCGTCAACAGCCATTTTTTATTTACTTCATAAGACCTTATTTCGCTATTCACGTAAATACAAAATCCTCCGCCCAAACGGATATCTTTTCTGTCGCTACGATATAAACAAAAAGTTTCCATGCACGTAATTGAAGTTTCACTAAACCATGTTTCCGTTACTCCGATTATATTTGACTCATTCAGGTGACTCAATACTTTAAATTCCTCAAATTTGTTCTTTAATGAAGTGGCATTTAAATATATACAGGATAAATATGATAATTTTTTGTTAATTTTTTGATCTCTGTAGTTGTTTTTCAAATCCCTAAGAAACGGCATTTTTCCTGACCAACTAAAACTAGCAAAAATAATTCCAATATACAAAAGCGGCGATGATTCGATAAAATCTAACTATCGACCAATTTCCATTCTTTCCTGTTTTTCTAAAATACTAGAGCGTATTATGCACAACAGGCTGTACAATTATCTTGAAACTAATAACATTCTTTATCATAAACAGTTTGGTTTTCGCAAAAACCATTCCACGGAGCATGGAGTAATTGATCTTGCGAACCAAATTCTTAATGGTTTTAAAAACAATAGTTACACTCTCGGAATATTTCTAGATCTATCCAAAGCCTTTGATACTGTCAACCACAAGATTCTTATCAACAAACTATGTAACTACGGAGTAGCTCACTCTAACTTAAAGTGACTGCAATTTTATTCAGAAAATCGTAAACAAGTAGTACCATTTGATTTAACATGCTCCCCGTTTGAGTCAATAAGTTGTGGAGTTCCACAAGGATCAATACTTGGACCTTTACTGTTTTTAATTTATATTAATGATATTTATTTGTCATCAAAAATACTTAATTATATTATTTTTGCTGACGACACTAATGTTTTCTATTCTAATTCAAATTTAAAAAATATTTTTTGTAACGTAAACACTGAACTAACATATCTCAATGAGTGGTTTATAGCAAATAAACTTTCGTTGAATATTGAAAAAACAAAATATATTTTGTTTGCGAAACCATCTAAATCCGAGAATCTTCCACTTACACTACCAAAACTAACTATTAACAATATTAAAATAAAAAGAGTGTTTTCAATGAAAATACTTGGAATAATTTTTGACGAACATTTAAATTGAAAAAGCCAAATAAAGCTAGTCGAGAACAAAGTCTTAAAGTCTTTAGGTCTAATGTATAAGACTCTTTTGAACAAAATATGTTTAAAAAATTTTTATTTTTCGTTTATACATAGTCATATTAACTATTGTAATATTGCCTAGGCAAACAATCACTCATCTTTCCTAAAAACTATTTACACATAACAAAAGCAAGCAAGTCAATTAGTTTCGGGCATGAATAAAGTGCCGAGCCGTTATTCAAGGAAATAAATGCCCTAAATGTATACAAACTAAACATCTACCATAACTTGTTAATTATGTTTAAACTTCAAAATCATTTAATTCCAAAATATTTTTATAAAAACTTCTCTCCTATTAATCATAAATATAAAACAAGACACTCAATAAATAATTACTACATCCCACTAACATTACTCAAAAAGTCTGACTTCTCAATTATATGTCGGGGACTATATATAAAACACATTTTTCTGTTGACTATATATAAAACACATTTTTCTTAAAAAAACTAAGTTGAAGCCACCATTTACAGCACCGAGGAGCCAAGCATAGCCTATTGTAAAGAAAACCATATCAAGTAATTTAAAGTATTTATTATTGATAGGGACGACAACTAAACATATTTAGAAAGCTATGTGATTCCATATTAGTAGGATTGTTATAGAAAAGTATATTAAAAAAGTATATTTAAAAAGTATATTTAAAAAAAAGTGTATTAAAAAGAAAACAGATTTTTAAAAACTACCTAATTTTGTTAGCATTTTGCTAATGGTGTTCAATTTTGAAACCATTATCTTGAATTGGAAAGCCGACTTGTTTAACTAATCTCATTCAAAAAATAAAATTATTGACACTTAAAGAAAAAGAAAAAATGAGTGAGATATAAATAATCGTACTATAGTATTATATAGATAAGTAGATATATATGAAAAAAAAACAACAACTGGAAAACAGTATACCTGCTTTTGGTAACCTGTTGT